TTGCTGTCCATTCATTTCCTATTTTTCGCTTTCCTCCTTTATTTATTTTCTTCTCTTTCTCCTCTTTCCCTTTAAAATTTACTACAAGTGGTTGAACAAATGGTATAAGGATACAGAAAGTTCAATACCTATAACTTACGTACCCACGTATCCGCTACACTATGTATACCACTTGCTTTTAATTTCATTAATTTAAAAGAGAAAACTACTTTTAATATTAATGACGTAACTCGTTAGCCATTTATTAAAGGTGGTTAAACTCAATGCAGCCATAATTTTTCATTTGAAAGAGTTAGGGCAGTAAATTATGGGAAACAGGGAAATGTTAGTTCCATTTAATTCAAAAAACATATCAAACCTAAGAAAAATTACTGATGGTGTAAAAATTCTTACTGTATATATAACTTAAATTCTTCTCGATTTAAACTTATATACAATGTCAATTATAAACCCTCCTTGTTTTTACTTCCCCTTTTAGATTAAGTACACGGCAAAGGGATGCTAGTTAGTGAAAAGTTAATTATTCAGAGTAACAAATAGTATATAGTTCTATTACACATTACACTGTGTAATAGATGATCCGATGCTTTAACTGATAAAAATACAAAAGTTCAATGCGCCAATGGAGGAAAAAAGCTGTTAGAAATCACCATCAAGTTTCAATGAGGGTGGGTCTATATTGTTCTATTGGGACCATCATAGTTCCATTTATTCATCACTCTTTTAAATTTAACACCCTTAACATAAATTTGCTTTGTAATGAAAAGAGTTTATAAGATTACTAGCTTTTACAAAGATAAAACTAATCATACAATTCTAATCAAACCACGCTTTCATGTAGTTTTCTATAACTATTTCTCATGAGAATGTTGGATCAAGTTTGAATAAGTTTTTCAGGCTCCATTAAATTTTACTATAGGACAACACATACTCCATATATGAGTGTCTTTCCTTTTTTTTTACCTAAAACCTTTAATGGATCTTCACACAAACAGCTTTTGTATCTAGAATAAATAGATTATACACTGTTTATATACACATGCAAATATAAGCCTATCTGCCTATCTGCGTACACACTACCTTCCACAAACCTACTATACGGGATAGATTACACTGTGTATGTTGTTGTAGTATTTTGTATACTCAAACTACACATATATTATACATCCGTTATCTATTTTATATTTAAACATTGGGTAAGTGACTATTTAAGTTAATTCTTTTTAAATTAAAATAGTCTCAAGAAAGAAATGGAATAATACTGATAGAAGCATATGCAAAATAAAGTAGGAGGCGACGTGCTGTGACTGTGCAAATCAGTACTACCATGAGAAGCCAAAAAAGATAAGTCATTCTCCCTAAAACCAAATGTTCCATTCATTTCATTTGCATCCTTTTTTTTCCTTCGTTCTTTTTCCTTTTCCTTCGCTTGTCTCAAAAAATACCCTTGTTAAGCTAACCCTAGCTAAGTCGGCTAACTTAGATACCTACTATTGCAATACAATTCCACAAAAAAGCAATATTTAGGTTTCCTTTTTATTTATTGTTTGAACAGTTTCTTTTCCTAAAGATTGTGTGACAATCTTGTTTTGTTTTTGAGATTTGGAGGTTGAACAAAGAAGTTTCATTGGGCTATGGGATTTGTAGCGTACCTTGTCAGTGTTTCTCGGGATCAGCATCATCTGAAAACAGCAGCAGTAATATTATTGCAGAAGTAGCAGGTTAATTCTCAGATCTTATAAAGTGGTCTATTCTTACAAATTAAGACAGCAGAGGGAAAAAAAAAGTGTCTGAATATGCAAAGAATTGTGAAGTAAGATTGATAATGAAGAGAGCAACAGGAGGAGAGATAGTGCAAGTAGAAGGAGGCCATATTCTCCGGTCCACTGGTAAAAAAGACCGCCACAGCAAAGTTTATACTGCAAAAGGACCTAGAGACCGAAGAGTCCGTTTATCTGCTCACACTGCTATTCAATTCTACGACGTTCAAGACCGATTAGGCTATGACCGACCTAGTAAGGCGGTCGATTGGCTTATCAAGAAGGCGAAAAACGCCATTGATAAGTTAGATGAGTTGCCTCCTTGGAACCCCAGAATTGATGCAGCTGATGGGAGCTCAAGTGGTAATAATATCGTTTTGGAACAACAACAGCAACAAAACCAACAACAAGAGTTTCAGCTTCAAAGACAATTAGAAGAAAATAACCCAAGTGGTAATAATTCTTCTAATTCATATATGATGCAAACGCATACTGGAGGAGAAACACAGTCGCTTGGTGATACTATGAAATCATTTTTTCCAATGAATTCAGGGACTTCATTAATGAATTTCCAAAACTATCCACATGAGATAATGCCAAGATCAGCTTCATTTCAGAGTGAAGATCTTGGCTTATCTCTTCATAGTACTACTTTTCATGACCAGAATTCTAACCATAGGGCTTCTTCTAGTCATGACCACCAAACAATTTTCTCAAGTCAAAATTTTGAAACAAATTATTCAAGAATGGCAGGTTGGATATTACCCCATCATCAGCAAACATTGTACTCCCAACAACCACAAGGTGCTGTATTTCCTCAAAGGGAACCCCTTCAGTCCAATTTTTCACAGTTGATTCATGCTTGGGAAGAGCGGCCGCCAATGAATCATGTCCATCATCAAGCAGAAATTTCCAATAGACATTTCATTTCAGATTTCCAAATTCCAGCTAGGATTCATGGTGAACATGAGGAGCCTTCCTCTGCTTCTCCCAATTCTCACTATTGATTGTTGATTAAAAGGTTGGTTCCATTTATTAGGGTATTCAGCCCAAAAACCATAATATAGTTCTGTTTAACTACTCAGTTGAATTGCGACCATTAATCTCATTTAAATGCTTAAGTTGTTAGATTGTGCACACTTTTAATTAATAGTATTTAATTATATTATTTCATGTCTCAATATATATTGAATTGTGTGATAATCTCATCTTAAAGATTAAATTTTCAAATAGAGATGATACACTATTAAGTGTTTAATTACATTATGTCTCAATAGTTCCTAGCTTGAATATTCTTGAGTTCATTTGTTCATTATGCTTTCTCAGGTTGATTGGATATATTGACATCATCGAAGAACAAATGTGCATTATTTGGAGGAGAACATGGTAAGAGTTTCAAAGAGATGTAACTGTATTTCTTATCGTAGTTTTTGTGGATTTAGTCAATTACGTTAGGGTGCTGAAGTCTTGTTTTGATTGCAAATCTTCCGCCTATTTTGTTTGAATTGTTTGAGTGATATTATTGGAAACTTAAATTGCTAGTAGACTCAGTTCTTCAGAGCCTGCTAGATAAAATATTTTTTGTTCTGTGATTTAGAATTCGCCTGTCTTTGCATATTAATTTGTCTTAAGGATTTATAGAATATAGTGGGATGTCTTTATTCTTGTCGTCTTTCTTCATGCCTTTATTCTCTGTTTGTTTCTCGAGTTTGGACTTTAATTTGGCTACTAATTATCACTCTTTAAATAGTAAAAATATTTAGATTGTGTTTTGCTGAAGTTCCATGCGTGGCATCGTGTTCTAACTTCCACTATCTTAAGTTAAAAAGACAAACATTTGAAAAATCCAAGTCAAAACACGAAGTTGGTAAAACTCAACATAACTAACTCAAATGTGACTATGCCAAATTTAAAAACTAAAGATATCATACAGATAACAATGCTATAGATTTTTCATGTTTTCACTCTCACAACAAATAAGTGATGCAGCGCAAGCGAATTCACTAGTATATTCACTTTAAAAATCTAGGCGTCACTTAAAAAACTAGGTTACATATATAAGACCATCCTCAAGGTTTTGATTGGATTGAATTGTCTGATTCCTTTCACAGATAAACTGTTAATTTTAGCAAGAAACATTAGTGCGTATGTTCCTTAAGAAAACTCAGACAGTATGAATTTATCATTCATTGTGTAGCATTTACTCGTGATTTTTCCAATCTTTAATATTCTGAGGCAATAGTACTGATGATTCAATTTTCGCAGTGGTACGTCAAAACTTTATGCAATGGCACATGTTTGATTTAATTACTAGCACTGTTTCTATAAAAGGTAGTAGTAGTAGTAGTCAAGGTAACACCTAACAAACTTAAAATGGGATTAAAACTGTCGTGCGGCGCGGCTACTAGGCAGATTTGAGTACAACCTAACTTGTATTGTGTTAAATCTTAATTTTCCTCAAACTAGACGGAGTACTAGGCTAAGGAACTACCACAAATGTTTTGCAACTTTTTCTACGTATACGTGTTTTACTTTCTAATCACGTAACACTAACATATTCTTAAATGTTGAAATACTCTAGTTATCATGATGCCTATATGCAGAAAAATTTATTGATGTAAAAGTATATATAATACATAATTTCCCCAACTTTGGCCGAATGTTCTCCTATACACCTAAAATTTGCCTGTGATAATGATGAAAAGAATTTTTTTTTCCTTTTTCTGATCTCCTTTTCCGAACTCAGTTAAAGGAAGCAATGGTTTGGACCAACAATTTCTGATTTTCTCCCTCCATTTAGTCGACGGCGCCCATATTCATATACAAAGAGTAGAAGATGGTGGAGAAATTAGTAAAAAAGACAGCAAAAATATCACATTTTACAAAAAACAAAGATTAAAAAAATATATAACGTGGAAAAATAGGTGTTGTGTGCAAGTTGCACGGCCAACTTAATCTCGAGGTGGTCTCTTGGCATGATAAATAATAAATCCACTTCATGCAAGTCTAGGGGTAATAAACTCTTGCTATTGGAAAATTTGCACAATATAGCTGCTTCCAAAAATAATAATCGATAATATATATATTTCTTTTATATTAATATATAATATACATGTTATACATATTTTTTATATATCTAGCTAGCGAATGTAATTACTTTCGACTGACCGGCCAAATATGTAATTTGCCCATTGCTATTTACTTAATCCGGCCCATTTGACAAGGACTACCAAAAATCCTTTGAGTTACAAGCCACTTCAATAAAGATAAAAGGGAATCTTACGAAAATGTCCCAAATAAGTCCTAACTTACCAACCTTTAGCCATTAATTATAGACTTACTAAAGCTAGCCAAGTACATACAAAAATCGAAAATCCAAATAAGTAAGGATTCTTTCTCTTCTTGAATCACAAGCAAATATCTCTTTTCATATTTTTAAGCATGATTAGTAGTATTAGATACAAGACGGAAAAGAAATTTCATGGATGAGGTAGTAAACAAGGTGATGAAATAAAATAAATAAATAATATATTCCCCCCGTTTACTTTTACTTGGCACGTTTTGACTTTTCGCACCCCTTAAGAAATAATAAATGAAGTGCATAATTTACCATGATACCCATATTAATTGATGCA